CTGCGTGGAGCTACAATTGTTGGCCTATTTTGAGGTGCAGATTTCGAGATCAACAGTCTTTATGGCCATTTTTGTGACGGCAATTAATCTAATAATAGATCTGTGACAACTATTCTTTGCACCATACGTTGCCTAAAGGATTCGTGAACGTCACTTGCTCTTGATAGCATGATGGAGTGAAACTTGTTCTAATGTTAAATCAATGGATCTAAAAGTTTTAAGTTGTTTAAGCATGTAATGTGTATTTCATTTAAATATTATCTTTAACACCTCTTTAAAGAATTCACAATTCCCTTTTTTTTTTTTTTGGGGCAATAAATCCATACGTCCACAATGTCAATATCTAAGTGGTTACGAAGCATAAACTCACAACTTTTGCATACTTTGATACAATTTTGAACCATTGGATTCAAAAATTTAAACGGTTAGAGATGATTAAATATATTATTTAATTATTACCTTCAATAGATACCAGCTCATGCACGCAAAAAATGTGAAAAAATAATGAACAAAAATTCAACTTATTTATTAACGAAGAATTACGACAAGAATTGATACAACATTATTCCAATACCTTTAGATCCAAACATGTCGATGCTTACACAAGTTCTATATGGAAGGGCCGATGCTTGGCCATTCCAAACGGATGACTTTGAGTTCAATAAGTTGATAGCTTCTTTGATAATCCTCATGATTTTCATGTGCCACAACATAGATCCTGCACCCCGTCGGACTGCGTTCAATCACGCCAACGCTAGGCTCTTATGTCACTTGTCACGTGGGTTTAAAATTGATTTGGGAACCCATATTTATAGATCGTCTCCACACATTGATATTCGTGAGCCTCATCAATGGATTTAAAGAGCTTCTAGTATACCGCTCCTGCCTAGAAAGCAAGCTACTTGTGTAAGTATCCCAATTACTGCCAAGACAACTACCAATTCTGGCGTATCATTCAACAACACAGACAAAAGCAAATGCATTAGCCGACTGATAAGTGCATTTTATACGCTTATTCGAGTCTTGATTCCTATTTATTTATTATTATTTTGAGCAATTATCTACTTAATTTAGGTGAAATTTGGTTAATTGTAGGTAAAACTTGAATTGGACAAGTTTGGATGATTGTATTGAAGCTGCACAAAATTGACGAATTGGGGACCAAAATGATCAAGCCTTGAAGTAGAGGACCGACCATGCAAATAAAGAGGACCTAGGACGCACAAGAACTTAATGCGGATGACCAAAGTGCACTTAAATATCAAACATTCTAGCTTTTGTGGGATTCCTAATTATACTCAAATTCCACATTGAAGATGCTTTAGGACTCATTTTTAGAGTTATTCTATATTTTCTATATATAGTTTTCATCATTCTTTTTTATGGGATACATAGTTTTAGAGGGAAAAAACACATATCTAGATTTTGAAACTCGGTTATGAACTATATATATATTTTTTATTTTTTCTTTCATTAATACGAGTATCTAAATCATTAGTTAGGACAAACAATTTAATCTCTGTGTGACCCTTTAATTTAATTTTCAAGATTCTAATTCTTTAATTTCATGTCTTGGCTGTGTTTATGGATTTTAATGCTTTGAATTACTTGGCCAATAATTCAATGAGTTTGTGAAATCTATTACAAGTCGAGATGTGAGCTTTAGGTTTAGACCATATAGTAAAATTCGAGAATTAGTATAAAAGTGTAGAGATACATTTTCTAATTAATGTTGTCGCTAAATGGATTCTTAGAAATTTACGGCGTTTAACTAATGTGTATCCAAGTTCACGTAGAGATATGTAATAGATTTAGTTAAATAGAATCAATTTGAATTCGAGAGACGTAAATTAAATACTTTAGAATAATTCGACCGAATACTATATTAGTAATGAATCTTGATTAGATAATTAAAGGGGATCCATAAATGAAATTGTAAGTCCTCACATCCACATTCATACTTTATGAACCCAAATTCGAAAGATTGTCCATTTGATTTATTTTATTTAATTAGAATAATTTAGATAAATAATCACGAACCATATTATTTGTTTTTCGTCAAATTTTAAAAATAGTAAATTAAGTATTAAATTAAAGTCCTCGGGGGAACGATCATTTGGACTCTTAGGTCCACTTTATTACTTAATACGATTAGTACACTTGCGGGCAGTATATAAACTTGTAATGGATTTAAACTTGTTACGATCAGTGGTGAAGTTTTCTATTATTTTTCAACTTGGAACCTCTTAGGTCATTAATGGAAGGAAAAATTGCGCAGAGGTCCCAAACCTTTCATTTTCCTGCACATTATACCCTATCCTTTCATTTTGGCGACCGAGGTCCCAAACCTCTATATTTAATTGCAGACGTGGACAAATCACTAATTCGGTCCATACTGCCGTTAGTCAACAATGGAATCGTAATTTTAACCCAAATCGACAAATTAAATGAGGGAAAAATAGTATATTTACAATTTCTATAATAAAACAATTAAATAAATTAAATAAAAAACCGAAAGAAAAAAAATCAAAGCTAGTGTTCATCTTCCCCAGCCTCCCCACTCCTACGGTCCTACCCCCTCCCCTCAACACATGAACCCAAACTAAATCAAAATCCCACCCCGTCATCATCTCCACAGCCACCGCTAACTCCTGCCATTGCCAAAATCGCATACATTTATCGTCAAAACTGATGGGCATTTTCGCACTCCGTGGGCTTTTCATTTTCAGTAGTTTGATCGATCCGGGATTATTGTATGGGGAGCTTGCTAGAGTTGTGTTGAGACTACTGGGAATCATAATGAAACCCAAGGAAGTTCATCTTCTTGGTGGTAAAGGGCTTATGATAGTGTCTGGGAACGAAACCCAAAATTACATTAAGGGACCCAATTCTGCTTCAAGGGATGCTTGGGATAGTGTCTGGGGAAATAATGTAAATTAAATTTTTGGTCATTTTTCTTTCTATAGGAGCACACAAGAAAATGTTTCTTATCTATATCGAAAGCTACAAATACAAATAGAAGTGGATGCTGTGAGTGTAAATGCATTATGTGTTGAAATAATAGAACATACCCTATCACCCCCACAAAAGAAAAGGAAAAAAGAAAAGCTGAATGAGGATATGTTGTGTTTATTTTGCTGTGAACGAATTCATTTGATTTTCGCAGTGGCGTGGCCGTGGGGATGATGATCGGGGGTGGGCTTTTGATTTAGTTTGGGTTGAGGTTTTGAGGGCGGGGCTAGGAGTGGGGAGGCTGGCGAAGATAAACAGTAACATTCATATTTTTTTTCTTTTTATTTTTTTAATTGTTTTGTAATGAAAATTGTAAATATACTACTTTGCCCTTCATTTAATTTGTCCATTTGGGTCAAAATTACAATTTCACTGTTGACTAACGACATTATGGACAGAATCGATGATTTGTATCACATCTACAATTAGATATAAAGGTTTCGACTGCAGCCGCCAAAAATGAAAGGTTAGGGTATAACATGTAGCAAAATGAAAGGTTTAGGACCTCCACTGCCATTTTCCTTAATGGAATTGTTTTAGGTCGAACAACAACGGACAATATTAATGAAGTAAATAATAATATAGAATGATATCAATTACAACCAACAAGATCAAGTTATATTATTATATATCACGGCAAGAAACCTTAATAGATATGACATTATTATATTATATATCAGTACAACAACAATATAACAATATAGAAACAGCTCACTGGTGATAATTACTGTAATTGCTGCTCAGAATCACACATAGGCAGCTTTTATTTCGTGTACGTTACATATACAGTTTCAGTATTACCAAGTGATTACATATTATGGAACTGATTCAGCATCGTTGGTAGTGGCAATAGCAATGATAACCACCCGAGTTTCCCTTGATACAAGAACCAGTGTAAGCTCCTTTGTATTGCTTACAGTATGAGCTACATCGGTAAGGGACACAATATCTCCAAAATCCTTTGCCTGGCTTTTTGCATGTTGCCTCCCCGACTTGCGCCTCTGCNTCCTCTACATGTCCTTCGGCATTTTGCCTCCCCGACTTGTGCCTCAGCCAAGAAAATTGATTAGGTTAAGCTAGATACCATAAAATAAGTCCTAACAAATAAAGAATGCATTTGACAGGATAAGCAAAAAAAATCTATCTAATAGCTTGAGCTTTTCAATTGGTGGTTTAACAGACACAAAGCACATGTTTACCAAGCCATAGGGTAGTTAATTATCATATAAGATTTGGTAGTTTCTATTTGAGAAACAATACATTCCTTTTAATTTATGATAATGTAAAATGTGTTCAGCATAAAAAGGCAGTTTGATGTATAGCAATGTTTTTTGTATCAATAAAATGGGGAAAAAAAAACTATATAATTGGCTGTTCTTGGTGTCTATAAGAAATATCAAGCTCTACGGTAGAGGTGCGTGGGGTGGGGTGTTATTTGGCTGCTAGAGTTACATACTGTTAGTTGAAATGTGTCACCCACGTGGGTTGACCCGACCCGATTTGCATAGAATGGTTTTTTGAGGGAGGAGATGAATTATTTATTTTGAAATTTAACCTCCCACCATCTATAACCTCCACAAACCTTCCACTGCACCAAGAATACATGAAAATAATGCAAATTCGGGTTTCTTCATACAGAGAAAAATAGACGAGCTGTGTGGCTTGATTTTGGAAGAGTAACAACTCAAATTTAGTTGTTCGATTGTGAACATCAAACTCCTTCCTTCGTGATTGAGTTTTTGACCAAGAAATAGGTACAAAACGGTGAGGAAAGCAAGCAAATCAAAAGCAGGTGATTCAAACTCGTTTCGAAATTTGAAGTAACCTCTACCACTCCAAACTCAGAAGAAAACATGCAAGTA